TAACGATCCCGGGATTTTTGGACATATATGTATTTTATTCTTATGATTATTCAAAATTCAAAATATCTTTGTTCAAATAGACGCGCATTGTTAAAACGTCGAATTTTTACCTCCAGTTTGGAAGGCAGTTTCTGATGAGGAGAGATAGTTGCTCTTTTTGTTAAAAAAAGATCAGATGTAGGTATATTACAGTATCAACCTTATTAACTTCACACATTGACGTCGTCAAGATATTCCGCAATGGTATAACAGCCAGAATAAATTAGTAATTAAATATTTTTTTACATAACATAACTGATATATGGGACGCTGGTTTAAAAAGTATGAAAACTCATATATTAGACCTAAGTTAAAGACATCGAATCATCGGCCGAAACTCACTTCTTGATTGACGCGTTGGCAACTTCTGATCTAAACAATGAACTGAACTCCGTAGAATAATTCAACTCCGAATACTCAAGATCACTGAAATAAAAGTGCATCAACAGAGGCTGAAATTATCTACACGATTTTTCACAATCCCAAGGTAATGGGTAATGACGCAACAATGTCTGTTTCCGCAACGTTAAAACGCAACTTGCATTTATTTTTTCAAAAAATATTACGATGACAATGCGTCGTTCATTACATCCGCAAGAAAAATATATACAAGAAAATGAATAAACTACAATTACTTTCAAACTTGATTTGCATACGCGATGAAGGTTTTATTACCGTCGAAGAGCACACGTCCTCGATCAATATAATGTTTCTGCGCAAAAATATTTAATATTCATTGACAAATACAAAATGCATTGAAGTTGTAATCGAACGGATATAAATTGATTTATTACCAAATTCGTACGCGGAACCCTTCGTGCGCACTTGGCCGTTTTTTTTGGCCGAGTGCAATTTTGTTCGACGTTTTAAAAATTATACTTCAATATTACCGAGGCCTTGATGTCTTATTGCAAATTAAATTATACGGAGCGTATAAAATTGACTTCCGGTTTGTTTGAGCGCTTTACTATACTGAAACGAATCACAATGTCTTCGTTATCTTTATATGTAGGTATACTTATATATAATTTTTCTGTGTGTATGTGACTGAACTCTTCTTAAACGGCTGTAATGATTTTTTTTTTAATTCGATCAAATCGGTCCCCTACAAAATGTTTTGGATTTAACACATGTGTACAGGTCAAGTGTCTTTCGGGTCTGCTAGCCTTTATATAATTTCCCAAACATGTTTTTGTGTCAAAACTCCAAAACATCTATAATTCATTTTTTTCATAAAATTTAATGGTCCAAACACCTGGATTTTACCATTATTATTCAAAATAAAATAATTTTTATTCATAAATACTTTGTAATGTTTAGTGGTAATCACTTTGTAACGACTCCGCTCCGAGGGTATTAGGGCAAAGCCGCGACCCCACTGCGGACTAGCAGACTTCATACCTAGACTACATATGTTTGCAATATATTTTTGTTATCATTTTGAAAACATGTCATTTTACTCGCGTTTTGCACCGCTGATAATGTCATAAGTCAGCATTTAAAATTAACAATTTAATTGGTGTTAATTGAAGTGTTATTGATTTAAAAGCCCGAAATAAGAATTCCCGGGCATAGCTATAACGGCTCCCTGAGTAGTTTGACGAAATATCTTAAAATTGTTTAATATGTATTAAATTCAGATTTTTTTTATTAGCTTGAATTAAAAGCGAGCGCTAAGACTATCGCGGCTGAGGTAGGAGGATGGAGACCCTTTTCTCCATAAAAAAGACGGGTCACCCCAGTCACCAAACATGCACGCATTCATCTATGTACGACGTGCAACAATGTTAAACGTTGCATTGCTCAACGGCAAAAACAATTTGTCGACAATGTATCAAACGTTGCAAAACTTGCACAAGATGGTAGTTAGCCAGTGAACCGTGAGTTGCGGGCTTTAATTAATCATTAGCCAATATAAATGTTTTCATAATGTTGCAGCGGTTGGCGCCTTTGCTTAGATATATTTAGTCGCTTCAGGTCCCAAGTAACATGATAATTTTTTATTTAGGTGTTATTTCTATTTATAATACAACTAGCTTATGCCCGCGACCTTGTCCCCATAAATCTAGTAACAGAGTTAAAATACAAATTTAAGTGTCACATATTTGTTACCATATTTGTACTCGTATCTTCTGTAACTGTGGTGGGGCCACGCAACAGTTTTCACTGTTGCTGATTGGTCAGGTCCGTCCGGGTAATTACCACGATCTCACAGAAGACCGGCGTAAAGTAGAAGTGTTACACTTCTGCGTTTCGTTTGGTGAGTGAGGTAGCCGGGGCCCACTTTATTTAAAGGTGGCAACACATTTGCAACCTTACGGGTGTTGTGTCTATGGGCCGCGGTTATTACTTAACATCAGGTGACCCGCCAGCTCATTTGCCAATTTTCACATTAAAAAGAAAACAAAATACTTCAAGGTATCGAAATGTAGCTTACACGAATATTGAAATTAGAATTCTTGTTTTAAACCGTTTTATTAACTGTCCTCATTTCCGAGCTCTGTGACAAACTTTCAAAAAGGCTAACCGATAAGAATTTTAAAAGTGTCCGTGAATGACCACTTTCTGAATTTTCGATTTTTATACATCTTACTAGCTGATCCGACAAACGTTGTTTTGCTATATAAATTATTTGTAGAATATAAAGAAATAAAAATTGTTATAAATCTATTCTCATACCTACTATAAAATTCTAAAAATATACATATAAAATTCCATCAAAATCGGTCGAGCCGTTTCGCAGGAGTATAAATACTAAAACTGTTAGATAAATAGCTTTTTTCTATTAAATTTTGTTGTTGATATTCATTGACTTCGATTTTTCATGATGTAAAATGCCCTTGCAACATAAAATAGTTGTATGCCTTATACTAGTCTCCGTCCTCAATTACAGAATTGGCCTTAATCTATAACATCACAGTGCGTAACATGTAGCGCCACGCAACAGTCTTATCTTTTGCATGAATGATCAGATCCGTAACGAGAAGTACCACGGCTTTACAGAAGACCTGCATGAATTGAAAGTTTTATACTGCGTTCCATCTGAAGGGTGAGGTAGCCAGGAGCCAGGGCCCACTTAATTATAAGCTGGCAACATATCTGCGACAAATGGCTGTGTACAAACGCTGAAAGGCGGTGATTTAGTCCTCATGTAGGTCCCTTTTAATTTCATTTCTATTAGACCTTGGACTTCGGAGATACATCAGAGGACTCAAACTCCTCAAAACAAAACAGAAAGTGTATCGTGACTGGGATGTATGTAGTCGGTTTTTTTTTGTTAGCAAAAATGATATAACAAAACTGTGGTAGGGCCACGCAGCAGCCTCGGCCGTTGCACGAATGGGCAGGCTCGTCCGGGTAAGTACCACGACCTCACAGAAGACCGTCGTAAAGTGGAATTATAATACTTTCGCGTTACGTCTGGTGATTCAGGTAGCCGGAGCCTAATTTTCAAAAGGTTGTCAACGCATCCGCAACAATCGGGTGTAGCAGATGTCCATGGGCGGCGGTATTCACTTAACATCAGGTGAACCGCCGGCTCGCTTGGCAACTTTTCGCATAAATAATACTTAAACATTTTTTATTGCGTTTAATTTTTTTACCGTTGCCCTTACTGTAGGATAACATTATCCTTAATGTGTTCTAAGGACGTTTCACAAACATAAATTTCACGTGCAGAATTATCTTTGTATCATAGAAACAGTTGTCCAGAGTGGGAATCGATCCCAGGACCCCCGGCGCCGAAGCTAATACCTTGACAACTGCGCCAACGAGTCATCGTGATATAGGATTTCTTACCACTGTATTTCATGAGTGATTGCATTGCTGTCCTATAGTAGGCCCATAGGACATCAAGCCCCTGTGGTAGGCCTAGTAGTACGGCTAATGTTGGAACCTAACCTCGGTATCAATTGTTGTCAATTGAATCTCTGGCTTATTTGCCATCTACTCCAATTGGCTTAAAGGTACAATACCACGCGTTTTCCCTTCTAAACTTTTCTAATTCGAATATTGAGTTATTATAGAAATAATACAAAGGTGTGGTGTCTGGAAGAACTGCGGTTCCCATCCGGTTTATCAGGTGTGGCAACTATGGCAAAAACCCCCTTATGATAGGAGTACAAATAAATAAACATATAAATAAATATTTCACGTCATGTTTTTATACAACGTTATCTAACACTAAATAAGCAAAGCTTGTGCTGTGGGTAACTGATAAAGATACTTGAAACATACTTTTCTTTTGCAAATAAATACATATTATAAATATATAAACACCAAAACACTTGAAAAGCACTATGTTCATCACACGATACTTTTCCAGTAGTGCGTATCGAACCCACACCCTCCGACAAGAGACGAAATTGATACATTGCAATTGCGAAATCGAATCCATGAGTACCATTTTCGAAAGCAATCGCCTATCAACTGCGCCCACCTAGGTATTATCCAACAGAGCCGTATTTAGAAAAATAATCAATCTTATCTGCTTTTTAGTGTACAAAGATAAGAAATGGTAAATTTGTGTGATCACGGTGACCGATCGATTGTTTACCACTACATAGTATAAAACAAAGGGACCACTTTGTTGGGACGTTGTGATTCTGTATGCCCTATGTAAGCTTAGATTTTTAAAACCACGCAACAATTTTTGATGCGGTTTCTTCTATTAAATAATAATTAATAATTATTTCTTATTCATAATTAATTATTATTAATTCTTCTTCTTTTAATAATGTACCCTTTGGTGCTCCCATTAGACGTGGCAACGGCTGAACGTTTAGCTTAGTGGTTAAAACGTCTGCCCGCGAATCCGGAAGACGTGGGTTCGATTCGCGCAGCGTCGAAAAGCTTTCCGTCCACATCTACGACATTTTAATGTATCATGATCTTAAGTGCAGAGATTAGCGCTGTAAAAATTTAAATATAATTAGCTCTAATTGAATCGTCGTTCATTTCAGACAATGCCTCCACCCAGAGGCGTGCGGAAAGGAGATCAATCTGCCCACATACTACGCGCGCTTCCACGACCTGCGCAAGGAGTATGTGAGGGCGTACACCCTGAGGGCGGTCGCCACCCCCCGAGCGCCGGCACCCCCTCCCCCGCCACCAGACCACCCCTCCACGCTGCTCGACATGCTCAACTGTATCCTTTATAAATAAAATACAAGTCAACATTTTTATTAACGAAAAACAAAACCGACTTCTAATATCTCGCTCTGTGTCCATTTTATAATTGATTTTCAGGAGTTCCCTAAGTAACTCCGGAGCCCAAGACCCAATACCAGTGAAATTAATATGGGACCACATGCGAAGTGCCAGTTTCAAATAAAAAAGAATCATCAAAATCAATTCAATGAGTCGAAAGTTTTGAGGTAACAAACATAAAAAAAGTCGAATTGAGCCTAAAAACCTCCACCTTTTTTGAAGCCGGTTCAAAATAACACTATTTAACGTAATAAATAGTAACTAATAATACGTCTAACAACGTAGAGATGTTATGAATATGTTAAAACTAGACTGCATTTTTAATTTCACTCTCGCCCCACTAACTATAACGGCCCAAATAGAATATTATCAATTCGATAAGTTAACGCTTTGTTATTGTTGGTCACACAAACACTTGTACCGTGTGGGAATCGAACCAACGATCCCCGCGATAAAGGCAATAGCTCGGCAACTGCACCGACGAGTCAACATTCATCATCGATTTTATTTATCGTGACAAATGAAATCCTTAAGCTGTGACTCAGATTTAGGTATAACTCCATACAGCGGGGACAACTTTTACGCAGCCGAAGTGAAGGACATGGCAAGCATCATACAGAGGATAATCTCGGACGGTAAGTGGCTTTTACCTCTATAACGCCCGGTGTCTGAAACATTGATCGTCGTAGATGTCAACTAATCAGGTGTCAAATGGTTTTTCAAATTTCATTTTACGTGCCAAAAGGATGTTTAAACTGTTTGAATTGATAATTCTGATCATTCTGATGTCATCTAAGTATCCATAGTACAAGCGTTGCTTAGTTTGGGACTAGATAACGTGAAAAAATATGTCCTGAAATATTAAATATTATTATTTACAATTAAAGTGGCTCAGAATCTAATTTACAATTATATATAAAACATATTATTTTTTACAACATATTATACATTATATATAAAATTACAAGTCAAATCTCATCAGTAAAATAAAGCCAAGCATAAAACGTCATATACTTTGTATAGTATTATTTTCTTTTGAATTATTCTCGAGATCTTCGAGTCCTCGCGATATTTATCTTCACCGCTGAGTACGTCCACCCACGAAATAAGACAAATGTATCATTGATTTTGTCATTGAAATAATCATTGACTTTTTTACTTTTATGTAAAGTATGAGCCTATACGTGACCAACTGCTGGGCAAAGGCCTTCTCTGGACAGAGGGTATCAGGGCACAATCCACCACGCGGCCCCACTGCGGATTGCTGGAGTTCACATATCTTCGAAATAAATAATTTTTTGATATCACTTCATGAAAATATGCAGTTTACTCACGATGTTTTCCTTCACCGCTGAGGATGTGATAATTCGGCACTTAACAATTTTCATTGGTGCCGGCACCGGGGATCGAACTCAGGTTGCTCTAGTATATTGAATAAAGGGGAGCGCCCGGACGGTCAGGTATCACGGCTCTCCTATGTAAATGACATAAAAATATTTATTTTTCCAGGTTTTCGATTGGAGCTACCCGAAACAATCGACCTTGTTTTAGAGACTGGAATTTGGTAAGTACCTAGGTGTAACAACTACATTAGAAAGGAAGAAAGAAAGAAATTACATTTCATACCCACAAGACGTAAGTATAATATCTCCACTTCACCCCGCTCTTCTATGAGGCTTCTATGGTTCCAAACTTTCTTCCACAAACTTCCAAAAAAGCTTTCCCATTTGTGCAACAGAAGCTGCTGCGTGGCCATACCACATAACAATTTAAATCAAACAAATGAAACTTTTAATAAATGATACGTCTATAGTTCAAAAATATATAAATAGGTAAATTTAAACGCACACATATAAGCATCGGACCACTAATATCATTACCGGCATAACATCGTTATAAAGATCGTCTTCGATATTATAAGGATTAATACTACGCAATATACAGTAACGCCTACGAAAAGTGTTACGGCAAACTTGACTTGGTTCATAAGGTGCATGCCATCTTTTGTTAGAATATCTAGAACACATTACGATGACTCCGTGGCGCAGTTAAAAGCGATTGGCTTCGGCGCAGCGGTCGTGGGTTCGATTCCCACACGCGACAATTATTTGTGCGACCCACAAATACTTGTTTCGGATCTGGATTACAGTACACGTGAAATTTGTGTGTGTAAAAAGTTCTTACAGCACTGGACAGTGTTATCCTACAGTAAGGGACAAGTTTTACGAAGGGAAGACAACAGTAGATGTTTTTAGGCCGCAGTTTTAGATAGTTATTACTACCCAACGCCTTCCACATAAAATACAAAAATGTTATTCTCTAAATGAGTACTTGTCCTAATACGTTTACGTTAATTTTATGATCTGAATAAATTTAAAGGTCTCCGTTTTCTATCGTTTGGATATCTTAAGTCTCATTACTACTAGTGCCGGCGAAATAGTTTTTGCGTTTAAAAAAGTAATAACTAGAATATCCCTCAATAGGAATATTTTATGAGAATATCTGAGTTATATGTCGTCTGCGTCTGCCCTGTGCGGTTACCAACACTACAATCACTTTAAATTGGCTTGCGTGTCTAAATTACATAATAATCCAATCATCTGGTTGAAATTGTCTGGTAATATCAGCAACTTATGTTAGTACTTCACTACTATCATTAGATGCTCTTATTACAACAATGTATTCTTATATCAACATTTACTTGGCCATGCGACTCAAGTATTGACTTTATTCGAATACCTTTAGCTTGCATGTAAGGTTTCTTATCAATGCGTTTATGCCCGGTTCACCACGAAAAACAATCCATCACTCACGTTTGAGGATTTAAAATAAGTGGAATTAAGCTATCCTATGGGCCGTTTCAAGAAGTGACTCGTTTTTGCTCTTTATTTCACAATAACACTTGCTTCTCCTTTATCTAACAAGTTACGTTAACAGATTAGCTAAACTAACAAAATAATATTGAATAATATGAACATTACGTAATATTTCCGCTAATTGTAAAACATTACGATATAATTGTACGTACGATTTTGGTCATACCGGTTTTCTATATTTTAACGCAACATTAGCATGTTTTCTTGCTTTACAATAAGGATACAATATTAATCAAACTAATTTTAAGGATTTATCGCGTTTATTTTTAATGAACGGACAGTCCGTCCCGTGACGATGAACGCTGTAAAGGGTTAGAAACGTCGGGAATAAAAAATAAACGTAAAATTAGTTTCATTTATATACACATATATATAAGCGTTATCGCGAAAATAGAAGAAATTATCAATACGTATACGGTACGGATGAGCCGTGATAGCTCAGTGTCCGGGCGCTCGCCTTTAATTCAATGTACTCGAGCAACCTGAGTTCGATCCCCGGTGCCGGCACCAATGAAGTTTTTAACTTTAAGTGCTGACTTATCACGTGCTCCGCGGTGAAGGAAAACATCGTGAGGAAACCTACATATTTTCGAAATAATAACAAAAAAATATGTATATTTCGAAGATATATGAAGTCCGCCAATCCGCAGTGGGGCCGCGTGGTGGACTATGCCCTGATACCCTCTGTATAGAGGTGGCCTTTGCCCAGCAGTGGGACATGTACTTTACTTTACTTTTATACGGTAACACGACTGAGCATGACATAAATTGTATTTGAGACTGTAATTAGGTACACTGAGAAAGACAGAAAAGTTTATTGGTGTACACAAATAAATGACTCATGTTTGCAATTATAATGCACCCTCGGTCCACTTATCGTCAGTTCCCGGAGTTGTAAACTTCGTGGATGCGGATTTTCAGTGGAACCGTAAACGCACGACCCCCATCGCCGAAGTCAATACTTTATCAACTGAGCCACGGAGTCATCGACAGTAGTAAGTAAGTAACTAGGCCAAACCAGCGTCTTAATCAGAACTGCACTAGATAAATAATAGCTTCCTCAATATTTGCGTAGACAATGATAAGAAACATAGACAGCGGTGTCGCAGTATGTTCGCCAACAAATTATCGCTCTATGTCGGAGAACCAAATTTGCCGTCAGTTACAGTCTCAGAAACATAAATTAATTTTAACTTTCTTTTAAATTTGGGTATTAAATGGAGCTTCTAAAGTCATTAAGTCTGAATGCTCGCAACTGAACCAATTAAACGTTAAAATTTGTAGAAGAAATTAACTAAAAGTTTTTTGATTGTGCGGATATCCAACCTAAGTCTTCCAGATTCGGCTCCAGAAGATGTGGGTTCGATTCCCGCATTGATGAGTGATTGAAGTCTTAGAGTACCGATGTAACATTAAAATATTCTAAAGATTTTTTAGTGCTGATGCGTCAAGCATTGCTGCAAATGCTAAATAACAATGTAGAAAGAAGGCGTTCAGATTTTCGTCGCTGTGGCTATCAGCCGTTTAGCTCAGTGGCTAGAGCGTCAGGCCGCGAATGCCGAAGACGTGGGTTCGATTCTCACAGCGGTAACAATCTTTTCGTACTTTTTCTACATGTTTTAATTAAAATATTCGTTCGATTATTCATTCGACTAAATACGCAAGCCTCTGTTTGAATTGCGCATTTGGTACCTCGGTATCCCGTGCTCGGTTCCGACCATACAATCTCGGGGAGAACCCCCCTCCCACACCCCGCACCGTCGACAAAAACAGCGAATAAGAAATGCAACCCCATGCCACTTGATACGACCTTACCGAGGTGCTGACCTAACTAAACAAAGCCTCTACCATGAAACACGAACTCTGCGTGTTGCTTCCTCTGAGAGATTCTCAATTCGAGTTCTTTTTTATGTTATACACTAGTTTATTCAACCCGGTTTCACATGGGCTTATATATCTCAGTTACCTTTTGCCGAATTGTCCATTACACTTTGTAGGGAATACAAAGATTAATAATAATAATAATATTTTATATCCTAATGGACAAAACCCTTAATATCTTCCATTTTTTATCCATTATGAAATTTCTGCTGACTAACTGTTTCATCTAAATACATACAAAATTGTCCTTTTTAATTTTGAATAACATTTGATTCACTAGATCTGCGTATATACATTTTATCATTAACCTCTAATATTCTAAAATGCAAAACAACATTTAACACTAATTAACCGGCTTAAGCCAGTTACCGAGATAACTAACAAATTTGTCACTAATGCTTCAAATTATAAATAAATGATGAACGATTAAAAACTTAATTAAATCATTGTTTTATTTTACTAATCGGATACGCTCATAAATCATAAATAATAAAACAAATTAAGTCTGTTGTTATTCACTACACTGCTCCTTAATTACTCATGCTGACATGTCAAACAAATGAGGCATGTACTTCGAACGATTGCAGATATTACAGTATTATATCTTGAATAGTAGGTAATACAAATTATTTAAAACAGTGCAATGGCAAATTTTATTTAAATTTAATTTGCAATTTAACAATTTTCTTATCAATGCGTTTCTGGCCATGTAACCAATAAGGCTCTACATAGTCTCTAGAATTGAAATTGGTAACATCAATGCGCAATCCAAGTATTTATGTTTGTGTAAAGTATATTTCTATAGAATGTACCTTTGCTTCTTTTGTTTTCTTTTATTTATTTTTCTTTCATTTATTTCGCGTATTTTGTTTTGCAACTGAGTCAAACTTTCTCTACTCCTAGGGTTGACTGGAAGAGAATGCTTATTAGCATTAATTTTACCTTTTGTTTAGCCTTAAGTTGAGATGTAAACAATAAATTTTTAAATAAATAAATAAATCCATCAATCATCATCAGCATAAAGTATTAAGATCACCAATCGGTTCAGAAACTTAATCCTGTTCTGAGAGGAACAGCAAGAAACTGTCAAGTACTAACTTTTTTACTATTGTTAAGTTTACTTTTTTACTTTTATCGCCAAAGGAACGTTTCCTTAAATGGGACACCGAAGTTTCGTGGTACAGGCAAATCGACTTATAGCCGTGACGTCGTCACTCGTGGAGTCACTCTCGACTCTTGCCGAGCGCATTCTTGCCCCGTCCGCCGTGCAGTGCGGACGTCTCACGCGTTGCAAAGCACGGTGCTTATCGCGCGCTTCACGCTTTGTAACGCCACCTGCACGCCGCTCGTAAAAATCCGTGGCGCGATCGTGTCCCTGAGCCCGAGGCGCGGTGTTTGTTTGTTCTGTGATAGCTGCACACTTTCGGGACTGGGCGCTTTTATCGCTCCTCGACGGCAACTTGAGATAAGGAGGTGAGTTACACTGATAGCTTTAGATAATTAGCTCGCCTTACGACCGATAATGACAACGCTCGCCAATAACATTCCACTTGCCTAACGTTTCAGAGCAAGCGACGATCTAACCGAGACGCAGTTATTTGTCGTTCAGATATTTCACGATCGACTGATCCAATTTTCTCATGGCATGAGTGCAATCTGAGTAATCTTTAAGAAATACCGATTTCTTTAGAGAAGAAAACTCCTCCAATCATCTAAAAAATCGGTACGAGTACTGTAGTGAGTTCTAACGACGTCTAAGCCACTTGGGGACATTTACTTCCGTTCCGAATGTTATATTTCCGGTTAAAAAAAGCAGGCGAATCGAGGAAGAAGACGGTCGCTAGGCGATGTCCCGACAACTGATAACCGACTTGTTTGCGTAAAACGAGAACTGAATGGAGCAAACTATGCTCCGACATACGTGGGTTATAATAACAAAACCCTCGCGCGCGATGTAAATAACGACTCATCAGACAAAGGAGACACATCGAACAGTACCAGGCAAGGCAATCGAAGCGCTCGCGCTGCTCAGCACTTTTCACACGGTCGCGTTTCGACATCGCTAGCGTCTGAGTTTTTACGCGCGTCGCGCAACCCGATGACGCCGCCGCCCTAGCTCCCGTTACAGAGTTCCGCGGACACGGGGGCAAAACTTCCAACGGAATCGGTACGTTCAACAAACACCGCGGCTGCTGACTCGATGTAACGCGACGCGCGTGCTAAAACCATCAACCGCACTGCGAGGCACGCAGTTTTCGAATTTGGAATGTTATTCTTGTTCTTTTTAAAATGGCTTTAACAGTAAATGGCTTTCGATTACAGATAATAAATGCGGCTTACAATCGTTGCAATAATTCGTTATAAATCAAATTATTGTGTAAAGAGACTTAAGAGACATAAGATATGTGTCCTAATATAATTTGTGTTAACAAATTATATTACGTCACATATCTTATTTGATAAACTTGTATAACTTGTGCAATAAACACGATGGTTTTATCATTGTAAGCAGAATGTATAAAGTAGGTAATACACGTGGTTCTATGCGTTTTTTGTCAGGCAATTGAATTTAAAACATGATATATGGAAAAATATAAAGCGAAACTTCCTAAATTATAGCCAATGACTTATTGGGTCTAAAATCACCAAAAGATATGAATGATTAACACTTTATTTTATTGGACACCAAGAAAGGGAATTAAAATAAATACAAAAACTTATTTATATTCAGAAGTACACTTTTTGCCAATAGTTGGTTGTTTTAGTCAATTTTATTCATCTGATTGAATTCGAAAGGAACTGAAAATGAAAGTGTTTTAAGTAATGTGTGTTGTCATTAAGGCAGGTAACGTCAAGTAAACATACACAAGTGATTTCATAATAAAAAATCAACGATCTTGAAAATGGTGCGGGGTTTTATGAATACCTTTTCGAAATTTTACCGTCCCATAAAGTATACATACTAAACGTATTTCGAAATATAAATTTCCGTAAAATTTTCGCCTAAAACACTCTTCGTACCTTTTTTGTATGACATGAGTAAATAATAAGTTATAATTATTTTTCTTCTTTAATTGTAAAATCAGAATGTATGAAATAGTCTATGTATAATTAGGACATTCGAGACACAAGGGCACTTCGAAGTTTATCGAATAGAGAATAGGAAGCGGCATTGTAAAACTGTATAGAACTACGAGGAACTAATAAAAAAAAAAACATTTCGGCCGATTCTGCGGACACGTGTTCAGAAATCGGGTGTTCTAACGAACGACTACGAGCGTTTCCGGCCCTCACGAGACGCTGCGAGAAACAATCTGGATTGTTCCAGGCATATATACTTTCACAATCCCATAGTGCACAATGTCACAACAACTAATATTATAAAATTCCTTGTAGTAGTTTGATCACCATTTTGAAGACTTTCGCTTTGTCAATTATGATAAACGTAATATATGTGCAACTTACGTACCCCTTTACCTTCAAAGGCGTCGTATTAAAGAACTCTATTAAGGAACTCTCGGCACGTAACATAGTTCTTCCTCGCCTATGAGCACGGCGGACCCAACACAACGCGTACACAAGATAATCTGGGTTCCAAGGTGTTTTCCTCCCGCCCCAGCCGACGATTAACACAGTCAACGGCCATAAGGGTCACGGTCCGTACCAAATCTCAATGGCCCGTAGGTGACATTACTTCCTGTAACAACACAGACATAAGCACATGCGAGGCTTTCCGAACGCGGGAGGACCTACCTCTCAGTGGTCGGCAACATCTATGCAACATCAATGCTGGTATTGAATGTCCAAAAACAGCCTATATAACTTCGTTCTCTTGATCTGACCTCATTTGAATTTCATTCTTTTTAAGATTTATTACGTGTAAATAATAAAAAATATGTTTTTTTTAATATGAGAGAACTAACTGATTACCGCCGCCCATGGACATTCACAACTGAGTTTGGGTATCAGATGCGTTACCAACTTGCATTACCTCACACATAAGACGAAACGAGCAAGTATAAAACTTCGACTTCACGCCGGTCTTCTGTGAAGCTTTGGTACTGCATGGGCGAACCTGCAACGACAATATCACAGCCACGATGTAGATTTCATATTTAAATATTTCTTTTTTATGCACAACAAAAATTAAAGCCCACAACGTGATCTGAAACAACGACAAAATGAACATGTACCGATTTACGTTTACATAGTGACCCTTCTTCCACAACTGAGAACGAATGAACAAAATCCTATAAAATTATAGCTAAGAACAACTTTTAGGTGAATAGAGCTGTATTAAGTATTACTGAGAACAATTTCTTCCAAGCATCATTTATATGGACGAAGGTATATTAAGACTAAGATGTAAACATTTATGCAAATATTTTGAATTTTATAAATCATTCGTTACGAAAGAAAGTGTTAGCTAAAACCGTTCCGAACGATACAGTTGTGTTATTCTCCTCAACCTGTCATTGAAGCCGCCACGATTATCTTGGTTTTATTTTGACTTCGCACCTTCGCTTGAGCATACACGAAGCGGTCGAATGTTTTGCATCAATGTCCATCTATAAATGGATGTCAAGTTTTTGTATTCGTTGAGGTTATTTAAAAATAAAGAGCGGGAAGCGCGCATTGACCGGAGTCCCGACAAGACACGCGCATTGTTCCGGCAGTGTTTTGACTTTGGGCCCCAACGACGCCGTCGTGCATTGTATTATTAATTATTTTGAGAGTACAATTTTATTTCGCAATGTGTAATTTGCCGCGTTTTAATGACGAGTCGCTAAGCTATTGTAGTGCGCACTTCTTACGATTTTTAGGGTTCCGTACTTAAAGGGTAATACAGGACCCTATGACTAAGACTCCGCTGTCTGTCTATCTGTCTGCCCGTCTCTCCGTCTGTCACCAGGCTGTATCTCATGAACCGTGATAGACAGTTGAAGTTTTCACCAATGATGTATTTCACCAATTATTATTTTGTTGCCGCTATTACAAAAAATATTTTTAAAAAAAACAAAAAATATTTAAGTTGGGCACATACAACAGACATGATTTTTGGACGTTTTATAGATAATCGTACGGAACCCTTCATGCGCGAGTTCGACTCGCACTTTTTGTTTGTTGCACTTGGTTTTTTATTGTGAGTTTTTCTGGTGTATTCTTGTGTAGTTTTAAAATTGAATGTGTTCCTCTGCCGTTATAAATCCGATATATTAATTATATCTTGCAGTGTTCAAAAATTCACTTACCAATTTCTGTCTTAATCCCGAGGAAATAAAGTAACTGCCAGCCACATACTGACGTCTCACTGCTTGGCAAAGGGATATCGGGGCATAATCAGCCAAGCGGCTATTACAGATTGAAGGACTTAATTTTGCTTATAGTTCACTTTCCGGCACATAACACGTAAAAGCACATAAACGCACGCACAACATAACTTAAATCAACGATTTCGTTATTGCTGGCGTGCTGAATCGAAATCATTTCGATCAATACTATACCGTAGACTAGTCCGATTCCGAAGGAGAAATGAAAATACGGTGGTCGCTTCATCACGTCTTCTGCGGTAGGACCACGTAGTTGTTTCTACTGTTACACGAATGGGCAGACTCGTCCGGGTCCAGTACCGTGGCCTCACATAAGATCGTCGTGCAGTGGAATTATTGTACTTTCGTGTTTCGCAGTGCGATAACCGGGGCCAACATTTGTATGCGTCTGCAACTCTTCATGTGTTTTGTAGATGTCCATGAGCGGTGGTAATGTTTTTTTATTTATTTAAAAATTTACTGTTTACACCCCAAAATAAGGCAAACAAAATGCAAACTTAATGCTAAGCATTCTCTTCCAGTCAACCCTGGGAGTAGTGAAAATTTATCGTAATCACTACACTTGGTGAACCGCCCGCTTACTTCCAAACTTTTCACATAGAATAAAATTTAATTTCCTTGCGCTGTGGTTCTAGTAATCAATTACACCTTATAATACATGCTAAAGAATAGGTTAATCATGTTTTTGATAAGAGCGATGGTTACAAAATCCGAAATGTTCATACGGCAGCTGAGATACCAGCTATCTATGATAGACTATTAACACAGAAGATACCTTATCGTGTAAACCTATAGATTGGTTTTTGATTGGCATCAATGACCTTAATAGTAAAACCTGTTAAACAATTAATGTTTGAATGTTAATTCTAAAACGCGTTGAAATAGCATCGGAAAATTATTATAATAGCAAACAAAGTATTATATATAAGTTCCTCAGTTGACGTGTAACAGAATCCAATTGGATATTTTTCTTCCTGTTTCAAGGAGTTAATACTGAGAGATATACGAAGCAACAGATTTAACAACCGAAACCCCTAGTTTCAGTTGTTAAATCTGTTCACCCAACTGACATTCAAATAAACTTCAAAAATTATACTTACAACTTCCACTAGTTGTCAAATCTAAAGGAATCATTCATCGAAG